ATTACATTATTTCAAGTAAAGTAAGCTTGAAAATGGAGCTTTTGGTTCTCGTTGAATTATACGAGTTAAGAAATACCCTGTATGGCTTTTAAACTAAGAAGCTGAGCCTGGCTGAGATTTGGACTGTGTGTCCTTTAGAACTGAGTTGTTAAGCCTGGTTGAGAAATTGCCTGTGTAGCAATTTCAATTGCTGGTGTTGCTTTTAGAACTAGGGAGTGAAGTCCGGTTGAGATTTGGACTGTGTGTCCTCTAAAACCGGGGAGTTAATTCTGAATGAGATATTACCTGTGTGGCATTTAAAGTAAGAGAGTTAGTCCTGGTTGATCTTGTTAACGAGTAGACATGGATAGATAAGTTTTGAGTAAATTGTTATAGAGTAGGTATTTACTACATTTCTGTGTGGCATTTAGAGCCTGGTGGTTTGTAATGTGTCCTGGTTGACTTTGATAGCAGACAGGTTGTGCCTGGATAGAGGCGTTTTGAGAACTTGTTATGGAGTAGGTGTTTAATACAGATAGAGAGATATAAAGAAATATATAAGATGACTAGATAGAAGACAAATAGAAAGTAGTGTGCAATACTGCCCAGTCATGGTGTACTATCAGCCCAGCCATGATGTACTATCATTAACTTTTCCATGCATTTACAGTCGTTCAACATCGGTTTATTGAACAACTCTAATTTGCACTATTTAATATTTTTAACCAGTACCATCGTGAATCAGATATCCTGCATAATTGGGGAGGACCACTATAGGAGCACCCTCCCCCACTTTCTAATGTTTTACCTAAATTACTGAAATTAGTCCACCATATGCATTGTTTGGGTACTTTCTGCAGACAAACTTCTGATGGAAGGGAGGGGGGGATGTAGAGAGGAAGTTAGGTTTTTTCCTGGTACACTCAAACTTATTCAATGTATGCGCAAGAAAGATTTTTCAAGCCTATATATGAAAGCTATCAAGGTCTTTAATAAAGATAAAAAACTTATCAACAGTTTTTTGTATAATTGTAAAGATTATTATAAAGACTAGACATTTGTAGCTTAGATAGAAAATTTTATAGACTGGAGATTTGTTGCATAGATAAGACATTTTCTTGACTGAACATTTGTAGCTTAGATAGGAAATTTTATAGTCTTGACATTTGTTGCATAGATAGGATATTTTATAGACTGAACGTTTCTTGCATAGATAGGAAGTTTTATAGACTGGACATTTGTTGCATAGATCATTTTCTTGACTGAACATTTGTAGCTTAGATAGGAAATTTTATAGTCTTGACATTTGTTGCATAGATAGGATATTTTATAGACTGAACGTTTCTTGCATAGATAGGAAGTTTTATAGACTGGACATTTGTTGCATAGATTGGAAATTATTTAGACTGCAGACATTTGTTGCATAGATAGGAAATTTTATAGACTGGACACTGTTGCATATAGGAAAGGAATTGATACGTTGCCTCAAACTCAAATTTTCTAATCCTTATATCTTTACAACCTGACGCTGTGAACCTGTGATATTTCAGACTTAGATTGTTTGATCTAAAAGAGTTCATAGTTTGAAATGTCAAAGGTCTACAACATTGAGTTGCAAAGAAATAGGAATTAGAAGAATCAGAGTTTGTGACAAAGACTCAATTCCTTTCATAGGCAGAAGTGTATTCACAAAAGACCAATTTTTATAGATATATGGATAAATCTGGCAAATTGTCCACTGACAAATTTTTCAACTGGAAAAACTTTTAACTGACAAAATGGTCAACTGGCAAAATCATTAACTTTCTAATTAACACCTGGCAAAATCATTAACTTTCTAATTAACACCTGGCAAAATGGTTACCAAGCAACTTTGTCACATGGCAGTGTGTTACATGGAATAGTGTCAACTGGCAAAGTGTTCCCTGACAACTTTGTCACTTGGCAAAGTTGTCACATGTCAAAGAGCCGTCAGGCAAGTTGGTACATGGCAATCTTACACTGGTAACTCACCACTGGTCATGTTTATTAGTTTGTCCAATATAACTGAATTAGTACTAAAACATATTTTACCTCAAATAACCAAAATGTTGAATTAAATGACTCAAAGAAGTTCGTAGTAAGATTTCGATTCAACTGGAGACCACCGGAGGGATTTCGTTTTCACAGGAGGGGTTTGAAAAGTAATTTTTTTCTATTTGAAATATTACCCATGGTGATTTACCATTAGAGGGTTGAGATATCTATCCAGGTGGTTTATAATACCACTTCAGGGATTCAGATATCCTTCCTAGAGGTTTTTATTCCACTGGAGGAATTCATATATCTTTCCAGGGGGTTTATAGCCAGTGGATTTATAAAGATATCTGAATCCCTCTAGTGGTATTATAAGCTCTCTGGAAAGATTTCTGAATCCCTCCAGTGGAATGTAAATCACCCTGAGTAAAGTTTTAAATTGTAAAAAGCATTTTTTCAAATCTCTCCAGTGAAAATAAATTCTCTCCGGTGGTCTCCAGTGGAGTCAAAATCTTACTACGAACTTCCGTGACTCCAATTAGACTAAATTTATAAAAATCATCATTTTGCCCATTACAACTTAATAAGTTAGTATAGATGAACAAATGTCATTAATGGAACGTTCATTTACAATAATGTCCATCAACACATACTAAAATTAATGAAAACAAAATCAGCTAGTGCGGTTGATTAATTTTCAGTGTTATTTATTTCCACTAATGTTTAATTGTAATGAGTTCGGAATGTTTAAACACATTTATTTATTGTTTTTTTATTGCACTGCAGCAAAATATTAGTGAGTTCAATTTTCCTAAAATTTTAAGAAAACAGTGAATAGATCTTATCTGTTTCCTAAAAGGAATTGATTCTTTGCCACAAACTCAAATGTTCTTATCCCTATGTCTTTGCTACCTGATGACGTAAACCTTTTACATTTTAAACTTATGATTATTCAGTATAACTAAATTCACAGTTTGAAATATCTCATGTTCACAACATTGAGTTGCAAAGATATAGGGATTAGAAAATCAGAGTTTGTTGCAAAGACTCAATTCCTTTACAGCTCATGGTTGCAAATTCCAGCTCATGTATTAATTATCTACTTTTTGCACAACTTGACCACAAATATGAACATAAAGAAGGTTTTATGTTTTAGTTCGGTTCGGTCTGGAGTTATAAAGAATAATTTATTACAGAAACACTTTTCATGAAAACCAATTATTTCTGACGATGAGTGTACTACACAGATCCATGCAGTATACACTGACAGCTTGGTGAGGGTATAAAAAGAGAAAAGATTTTTGAAAACTTTTTAACTTTTAAACTTTTGAACGTAAAAAATCTCTACGTGATATTTAATATCTTTGTTTTCTTGCTAAAATTAATAATTATTGATTGTGGTTTTCTGTAAAATTGACTCACAGATTTGTACAGCACAGACAAAGGAAGGAAATTAAGAAACTCATAAAAAAGTGTACAGTCCCTTTATAACAATAAAAGTTATTATTAACTTTGACTCATCATGATGTCTAAAGAAAGTAGTACACTTTGCTATACTGTACTGTAACAGCCCCTAGTCTAACAGGGAGGAGTAAGGGGGGAGAGATGATAGTTGCATTTATTAAGAAAGTAGTACACTTTGCTATACTGTACTGTAACAGCCACTATGTTCTTTATGTTTACATTTTAAATCAAAGAAGAAAAACATTTTGCCGACTTAAAAAAAAAATCGCGGATTTTCAAGAATTTAACTTTTTTTTACAAAATTAAAAACCTTTAAAACACATTTTTTAATTTTTATCATTCATAAACCTTCCCTGTGGTCATGTGATGCCCCACAAAAAATTTGGGCCCGATCGGTTCAGCCGTTTTTACGTTCATTGGATACAAACAAATAGACAACCAAAACAGACAAGCCAAATTTATAAATAGACTAGAAATTCAAGGCGCTTCGCGCCCTCCTTTTTAGGCTTTTAGGGCGCTTCGCGCCCATCTTCTATTTAAATTGTGAACATGTTCTTTTTGTTTACATTTTAAAACAAAGAAGAAAATTTTTTTGCAGATTTTTAAAAAAAAATTCGCAGATTTTCAAGAATTTAATTTTTTTTTTAATTAAAAACCTTTAAAACACATTTTTTTTATCATTCACAAACCTTTCCTGGGGTTACCTGATGTCCCAAAAAAAATTTGGGCCCGATCGGTTCAGCCGTTTTGACGTTTATTGGATTCAAACAAACAGACAGACAAGCCAAATTTATATATAGATTCAGAAAGCTTGTTTTTGGTTAACAAAATGATGCCCTTCTCTTAATTGGTTTGTTATGATTGTAGCTTAACCCTATAATGGCTGGGGGGTCTGAATCTATGTATAAACATGGGGGGGCGTCCCTCCCATAAAAAAGGCTTCAAAGAATAGGTATAGGGCTGTAATGCTTGTTCACCGCCCAAGTTTTCTAGGCCAGGTCATCGAAAACAAAATTTTATCGATAGCTTTTATAGTTCAGGTGCTCGGAAGGGTGAAAAAAATGTCAAGAAAAGGTCAAAAAATGTAAAAAAAAACATTTTTTTGGTTTAACACAAATATTAAAGTGTGACACATGTTTCTTTATCCATTTTTTAAGGGCTTTTAAGATAAGTAGCTTTGGTAAAAAAAAATCTTATGGGCCCTTTACCCTAACCTATGCATATAAAAAATTACAAAAAATTCTTTAAATTTTAATTTAATGTAATAGATTTCGCAGACTTTTTTGTTTTAACAAATTAACAAAATTAAACATAGGCTACCATGACAAAAATAATAGCAATTTTGGATAAAATCTAGCATACAGACACACAGAAAAAATAAACATATATGATCTAAAGTAAAAGAACAGAAAATAGATGTATGATCAGATAAAAAAAAGATACAACGGTCGGAGAAAAAAATTCACTGTTCTCTTCATATTTTGTTAAAAATAAATTGTCAAAAAAAAACGTATATATGCATAATCTGAATATTTTTCTTTCCGTTCAGTTGTTTCTTTATTTTTGATTAGAAAATCAAATTTGGAGGAAACAGAAGATACTGAAACAGAAGAATATTTAACAGAACAACCAGATAAACAAACAAGTAAGTTTTTAATACTAATAATTTATAAAATTAAAATATTAAAAATTAAAAATTTTCTATGTCTAAAAGTTTACAATTTCTTTTTTTATCCTATGGTTTCAGGTACTAGAAATGTGCAAGTCAATTTTATAAAACCAAATTTAAAGTGATTTGAGACCGAATTTAAAGAATTTGAGCCGCGGCTTAAATCCGCCAAAACCCGGTTTAAATTAAGCGCCGGCTTAAATATTAAAACATTTTATACAATTTTAAGTGGAACCAACCATATTTATACCGCGGCTTATTAATATCTAATTCATACTTGATCAGACAAAGCTTTTCAGGGTACCGCAGTAAATCGGGCGGTGGGTCACTAGAAATTACGTTTACCTTTAAATACCTAAACTCTTAGCCAGACACTGTTAGAGCTTTAATTTTTTGTGAAATTTATTAATAATCAAATTAAAATAATTAATTCCGATCAGAATTTTTTTTTTTTTTTTCATAAGCTTAAAACTATAACTTGTTATTTTAAACTGTTCTCAAAACGAATATCTAAAATGAAACGAAAATCATTTTTTTGAATGATACCCATCCCTACTTGTATTTTTAGAAGCATGACAATCTAAAGACAATCAATCACAAGATTGATATAATACTTTCTTAGTTTAAAACAGAAAACTATCCTTTTTAAAATGACATACTTGGCAAGGAGTTTAGATCAAAATTCTTCATGCCTACTCTAGATGTTAATTAGCTGTCTTAAACCTGTTCTTAAATTTTAATCATAACCACAGACTAGACCAAATAGGTTGTCAAGTACAATAGATGGCAACAGAAAAATCGACCAACTGCGCACAACGTCATATGTGTCAAATGAAAAAAGAAAGACGACATGTCCTCTAATTAGTTGGTATAATTTCCCAGATTCGGTGAAGATAAATGTCGTCTTTGTAGGAATACGTAAAAAATATTTACAACTCGAAATTAGATAAAGTATTTTTACTGTCATTTGGTGGCTTATTTTTTTTTCACTGTATATCTATGTAAACTAAATAGTCTGAGGGAGGGGGGGGGGNACTCCAAATTTTTGCTTTGGACACCCTGTTTATAATATATATCTTCATAGACTTTCCAATAATTTCATAATTTGAGCACTTTTTATATATTTCTTACGTGTTCCCAAAAATAAGTAAAATACGACATTTGAGAAAAAATTAAATATCCTTAGAAGACGACATTTCATTAGAAAATTACCGTTTCTTGTTGCCTGTATTTCCCCTGGATCTGGGGGTTTATCCTCGATTAGATCTTTCCAGAGCACTTCTCCAAAGATATCATTAAACATTTCTGAAATGTGTTTTTACGTTATACTTTCTAATTACAATGTTAAAGGGTTATGTACAAAATCAGTTTCAACCCCGTCATTAAATCTATAGAACGTTAAATGAAAAAGTGTAAAAACAGAAATAAAGAACACATAAAATTGCACTAATTTCACTAAAAGATAAGCTCTTTAGTCTAAAAATATCACTTTTATTTATAGTTTTGTCAGACAGAAAATTTGAGTTGACACTTATGCCGTTTAAACAGCTGTACTGAAAGTGTACGCATTCTGTGTTGCCGTCTATTGTACTTGACAACCTATTTGGACTAGACATTCTCACCCAACTCATATCATGAAACCTCGATTTCGAGTGGAAGTGGGGTTCATATACAGTACACATACTGCATGGTTTGTTTTAGATAGATATATTTCCCCCTAAAATGTAAACAAAAATAGAAAACAAAGGAAGCACTGGAAAAATAACTTGTTTTTAGGAATATGTTCACAACAGACCCCAATATTTCTAAAATTGTACAGTTTTGCCAAGCTTGTCTGTTGTACTCAGTACACTAAACCTCTGTCAATATCTACTCTGTTGTCCAATCAAAATACATCATGCATACTTTAGATATTAATTAGTTGTCTTAAACTTAATTTCAAATTCAAAGTCACTTTTGTAGAGAAACCACAAACCAAAATAAACAGACGAAGCACTTGTCTTATATTCACTCACAGAGGACAGACGTCTCCAAATAATTCTTTAGGACGTCCTGACTTGTTCTTCACAGTTGCTGTCAATTCAGGGCATATACAGGGTCCCCCCTCAAAAAAAAAATCTTTAGGGTGGGGGCACTTGGAAATTGCCCCTCCAAATAATATTTTTTTTTAGGGAAACCTGTGTATGCCCTTACTTGACAGCGTCTTGTGATGATGTCCTGAAGATGCTTCTTGAGGACGACCTCAGGGTTGCCTTAACAAAACTACAAAATATATCATTAAATAACTATATTAATTAATTAATTAATTAAATATGTTTCAGAATAAATGCTCTTTAAAAATCCTCCCATGGTTTCGCAGCCGCCAACAAGCAATTCTAAAAAATTAAAGATAATTTTTAAATTGCAGTACTTTCCAGGATCTTATACAGGATAGACGTTAGAGCTTAGCTTCCTCAGTCTTGACCCGGCATTCAACCTGTTAGCAACCAGCTCTCTCCTCCCTGCCTAGTTTGGCCGCAAACCTGTGTTGGCCCCCAAATCAGCTGAAATGTTGGGAGCGACCACTCTACCTGGTCAACCTGTTTCAACCTAACAAATACACATGGGTTCAATACAGCCAGCAGGTCCTGGCTCTATACCAGGAATTTGTGAAGGCCGGTGAATCTGTGGAGCTGAGGTTATGGTCTAGAGGAGGTAAAGAATGTTTTTCCTTCTCCCAAACCCTCGGTACCCTCCCCCAGTCTCTTTCCAGGATGCCGAACAGGAGGAGAAAAAGGAGGAAAAGGGTGAGAAAGAGCAGAAAAAAATTAAAAGAAAATTAGCTGAACCTGAAACTGAACCTCATCCTCACCCTGAACCTGAGCTTAATCCTGTGCCTGTTCCCAAGCCTAAACGAAGACCTACAAAGGCGGAACTAGATTTAGAATTGAGGAAAATTATGAAAATGATGCAAATGTAATGCTATATCTTGTAATGTAATGTAAACCTGTTTAAATCTTTAAATGGATTAGCATAAAATAAATATTTAGATCTTAAAAAAAGAGCTTAGCTCTGTTAATTCCCCTAAGGCCTGTGGACTTGTACTTAATTGACAGCTCTGAGACTATCATACCTTTACTATGCCTCATAGAGGACAAAGGAGAACACCGACCTCCTTCCCCATTGATATTCCAGAGGATGCTTCTTCAGATATATCAGCATCGACAAGGGATCCCTCTCCATTGGTTTCTAGCACTGCTGAGATTGTAACTGTCCTGGTTAGTCCAACTATGGATTAAGATGCAACAGATGAAGCTCCAGATTCTCAAGTTGGTTCCGGTAATAGTGACACTCGAGATACAGAGCAGCCAGGATCTCTAGGACATGCAAAAGCTACATCTTTTCTCAATGGAGACACTCAAGATAGGTAGCAGCCAGAATACCAATACAGACCAATGAAGAAGAGATCATGAGGATCTACAAGGACGGGATCTATCATCCTCTGTACATGATTGAAAAACCAGAAGGTCTACATATAAAAGGATCAATTATCAGAGATTTTGGAAGCTTCTTCTGCAAGCAGCTCCCCATCACCCTGTTGTGAAAGCTTACCTGGATTTAGAGCGAGACTGAGAGATACTCCCAAACCTGGTACTCCTCCAGTTCCCTCTTCAGACCCAGAAACCCTTTTAACTCCAGGAGCAGCTAGGATTCCAATAGAAGCAGTCAAGGGATCAACCAAAGATATGGAGGCTTATATGGACCAACTACAGGTCATCGTTGAAAGACTGCTTCCCTGGTTGAAGGATGATATCTCCTCCTCTGGAGCTTTAAATCCCAGGACGCCTAGTCCAGATATAGCACTTGAGGATATATTGGAGTTTGAGGCAGCTGCTCAGAGAAATAATACTCCAGAACCATGGAACAAAGTGTTTATGTTTCAAGCCTCTGAACCAGAGCACCTAGATGAGGCTGAGGCAGCTGCTCAGATAATTTCAGACTTGGAGCATTTATATGAGATATTTGAGTTAAGAGTTTCTGAACTAGAGCAGCTGGATGAAGCTAAGACACTTAGATACCTCTGGACTAGAAACATCAAAATGAGATATTTGGGTTCAGAGTTTCTAAACCAGAGCAGCTGGATGAAGCTAAGACAGCTACTCAGATATATCCGCACTTGGAGCATCTAAATGAGATATTTGAACCTTGAGTTCCCAAACCAGAGCTGCTGGATGGGGGAATCAAATCTAGAGGAGCTGCTTGTTGGAATTTAGACAAAGAGCAGCTGGACAACCATCTCACTACAAGGGAAGCTTTAAGGACTGTTTATCAGAAGTATCTAAGGACTAGACAGAGAACTGCTACACTTGAAGGATTAATTGAGGATTACTCAGGGATTATATTTAGGCCTTATACAGGCCCATCAAGAGCCCTAGAGTAGTTGAATATGCTCCGGCCCATCCTGGATAGACAAAGGACCAGTTTACTCTCCTTAGCTAAACAATGGTTTTTTCAATCATCAAAAGGACCTTATTAAAACATGAAACAACTTTAAAAGAACTTTACTAATGTATTTATTAAATAAACTATTGAACTGATCAATCACAATTCATTTATACTTTAAGAGATATATATATATAGAGGTTATGAAAGGGATCGATACTAAAGCGAGAGTACAGGAATCTAGAGTGAAATATTTGCAGAAACCTTCAACCATGGGTGCAATTAATTTCCTTGGCTTCTCACTGTCTGATCTTTCATGTGTAGTAGGTCGAGCAGATGAGCCTGCAGATAGCTCTGAAATATTTAGAATACATAATCCTGTATAAATTACATTAATACATTTTAATTACAATTATTCCTAAATCAAGAAATTCAATTGATTCTGAAGCATTAGCTCCATCTGATTTAGGTTTACTGAGCCAAGCTTTCTTCTTTTCACTGCCTAAAGGATAGAAGGCGCTTCTTTGTTTCTTGAAATTACAGAACTGGTTCTAAAAAAAGCTACATATGTGACATATATTTACTCGATTAGAAATAATTTTTAAAATTTATTTATAAATATTTAAATTATCTCACTGAAGATATTTTAAAATTCTAGCTGTAAGTTCCACGTAGGAACCTAATGGATTGAATTTAAATTTTTCATTCCACTTGGTAGTGTAAGAATGATTAATACCTTCAAGAACAAGCCAGATGTAAATCCTAGGTAGTGCTAACATCCATCAATTGCAGCCATGGTTAATTCTTCATTTCATTCATGTTCTCCCTTCTAGGTTTCCAGTAAGAATCGGCAGCTAACCATATGGAATCAACTACAATCTTGACTAAAAATACTAGACTTCAAAATATTTAAATTATTTCTATTTATTACAAGAAGAAATTTAGCTACCTTCAGTTTTATTTCTTTGCACATTCTTCATTGTCTTCACGTCTTCATTGTCTATACATCTTCATCGTCTTCACATCTTCACCATCTTCACATCTTCATCATCTTCATATCCTTCATCATCTGAGGCCTTTGGGTCATTTTCCTCTTTCCAGAATTTAATGAGATGACCTAGATCTGTGGACCCCCATCAACCGAATAGATTATCTTGACTAATAATTAAATAATTTTAGACAATTTCTTAGTATTTGATTTTAGCAACACCCCCACCCCCCTCCTATCACTGCTCTAGGAAATTACAAATCTTTCCATTAGTTTGAGTTTTTTCAGTAAAAATATTACCTGCCTAATGCCTAACTTTCTTTTTTATTCTCTTGAAGACATCCATCGTTTGAGGACTTGGAGCCCTCCTCTTTCAGTTTCAGAAGCATCAGTTTCTAAGGCAACAAATTAACTATTATTAAAGTCTCCCCAATCTCCTTGTTTGATTGAGACTATAAGTCATTTAATATTCACTAAACAAATTATAT